TATATATATATATATATATATATATTACAATCTAACAGAATAATCTGTAATATATACATAATGTGTAATGTTTAAACAGTATAAAGAATTTAGGTAAAGTGATATACTAATTATTATAATATATATTAATGACATTAATATATAAATATATATATTATAATGTTTAAACAACAGTATAAAGAAGGGATACAAGCAATACAATGTGTCAGGAAAAATATCTGATATTTAAAAAGGAAGTTTTACTACAAATACAGATGTGTTAAATACCTCTTTAACTTTAAAACATTTAATACAACAATATTTAATGACTTCTGTTCTTCCTGTTTGGACTCTTTGTAAACTTTAATGAGTCATTATTTATTTATTTATTCTTTATCTCATAAACGTCTCAGATCATCTTAAACATCCTGTTTGATATTTAAAGACTCACTTTGATCTTTTATATTTAATTTAGAGCAGATTCATGTTTATTATTAAATACTGAACAGGTTATTAATACACTTCTGATATATTTAGCTCTCACACACACACACAGACATACACACACACACATTGTCTTCTGTGGACAGATGTTATTTTTAGAGGTTTTCAGAGGAAACAGATATGAGATGTTGAATAATTAATGAGCTGCTTCTCTCCTCCTCCTCCTCCTTCTGTCCGCTCTGTCAGCTCAACCGGACACAAAGACAGTTCTGTTTCCTTTAAACACGTCTTGTTGTTGCCAGGTTGGTTTTTATCCTTCAGGACGACACTTGAATGCAGCATGAAGGAGACAGTGAAGTTTTAAAGGGACAAACCGACCAATCACCACTCAGCTCACGAGTCACATGTCTGTCTGTTAAACAATACAAGAGAGCAAAGCTCTGAATGATGAAGGTAGTTTCCTGTTTCCAGTTTTTATTCCTCCTCTCTGTGTCTGACAGGATTCAGAAGAATGACAGAGCAGGACAGGAGATCTCTCCCTCACTGAGGGGAGGAGGACGAGGAGGAGAACCAGAGGAGGTCAACGATGGAGCGAGCCCACAGCCTCCTGCTGAACGAGGAGGCGTGCAGTCAGCTGGGTGACCACCAGAGGGCGACGTTCGTCTTTGAGTGGCTGAACCACCTGAAGAAGCTGCTTCCTGCTGCTGAGCGGGTGAGAGCTGCAGGTTATTAGATTATTAGATTAGATTACTTAGATTAATTAGATTACTAATTAGTTATTAGAGGTCACATGACTCGTGACATCACCATCACATGACTCGTGACATCACAATGTGTGTCATCCCCTCCAGGCCAACGTCAGACACAACCAGCGGCGTCTGACCGAGCAGCTTTCGGGCGTTCTGATCGGCTCCCCCGGCCCGCCGACCCGCCGGCTGCTGGCCCACTGCCTGGCCCTGCTGTACCGCCTGGGAGACCCCTTTACCGCCAGCCTATTGGTGGACAGGTGCAATGACATCATCCGCAGCAGAGATGACTCTCCGTCGGGACTCCCCACCCGACTGTGAGTCCGGATGTGTTCGAGGAACAGCTGAGACTCCAGACTGCAGTCGTGACGTTGATGAGTTGTGTTGATGTGTTTCAGGGCTGCCATCACTGTTCTGGGGTCTGTGTTTGAGCAGCTCGGTCGGCTGCTGCTCGGCTCCTTCAAAGAGACTCTGATGAACCTGCTGAAGGCCATGAAGAGTGCTGAGGTCTGAGGCTCCTGTCTGGTTTCTCTTCTTCCTCCTCCTACTCCTCTTCTTCTTTATTCTAGTGATAGGAAGTAGTTCAGGCCTTTTATTTGAGGTGTGAATGTGGTGGACTTCCTGTGGATGTAACCGGTGACTCTTCCTCCTCCTCCTCCTCTTCCTCCCTCAGTCTCAGGGTCGCTATGAGACCATGAGGAGTCTGGAGAAGATCCTGAGAGGTCTGGGCGTCAGCGCCGCGCCGTGTCACCGTGACGTCTACAAGGCGGCGAGGACCTGTCTGGCGGACCGATCCATGGCCGTACGCCGAGCAGCCGCCGAGGTAACGACCAGCGGCCACCAGAGGGCGACTCCTCTGGTTGTATAGAAGTCTATGAAAAAATGACTTCTCTCTTGATTTATTACCTCAGTAAACATTGTAAACATGAGTTTATGGTCTCAATCTCTAGTTTTAAGCCTTCTTCAATACAGCATGATGTTGATTTAGTACATTATGGTCCATTTAGAGTCACACAGACCATAAAGCAGGGGATGCTTTAGGGCGGGGCTACACAGTGGTTAGTAGTCACTGACTAAGTAGTCACTAAGTAATCACTAACCAGTGATTGACCAGAGACGTATACGGCGTCTCTACGTCACTCCTCCTCAGTCCAGATATGGTCACTTCCTGTTCACTGGATACAGATCTGATCCAGATTCTCTTTGGTTCCTCCTCAGTGTCTCCTGGAGCTCCAGAGGGAGGCAGTGTTCCTGTGGACCAGTGAGCTGGAGAACGTGTCCACTCTGTGCTTCAGAGCTTTGGATGGATCCAACTACAGCGTCAGAGTGTCTGTCTCCAGACTGCTGGGGACTCTGCTGGCTGCTGCTGTGGAGCCACGACAGCCCACCGGTAAGACCAGGACCACAATCACAACCACAACCACAAACAAACAGAACCACAACCACAAACAAACAGAACCACAAACACAAACAGAACCCGGGTTTGGAAAACCTGTTAAAGGAGCCGTGTTTTAGCCTAGCTTAGCACAAAGAGGCAGGAAGCAACGGGGGTTCACCTATGATTTGTTCACAGCGTGTCGTTCTCACGAGGAGAACGTAAACACCTCGTAGATGCTTCATGTGAGGCGCTGACAACAAATCTTTCTTCTTCTTGTTTTGTTCCCAGCAGTCCCCAGGCAGAGTGGGCGGGGCCGGAGCTCCCTGGAGGAGGCGATGGATTTGTTGTCGGGGGGGTTCCTGAGGGGGGGGGCAGGGTTCCTCAGAGCCAGAGGAGACATGCTGAAGGGGACGAGCTCCGTCAGCAAGGAGGTCCGCATAGGAGTCACTCAGGTAAGGAGGCGAGAAGGAGACGAGTTATTATTCTATATTTATTATTATTAAAGAGGTGTCAATGAGAGGAGCTTTAACAGATGGAGGGACTTCACCTTCATCGCTCCTCACTCCTTGTATGTGTAATGTACAATAAGCGGTTCTGATTCTGATTCTCCTCTTTTTCCTCCTCCTCCTCTCCTCCCCCCTCTCCTCCTCCTCAGTCCTGCGTGTTCTTCGTCTCCCTCCTGGGCTCCTCCTGGTTGGAGGTGAACTTCCCTGTCCTTCTGTCCCTCCTGATGGAGTTGGCGTCTCACCTCAGAGCCACTCAGACGGCGGGTGACGCCGCGGTGACTCGTCGCTGCGTTTCCTTCATCCTGAGGAGCACCGTGAGCTCCCTGCTGGGGGAGAAGGCTCAGACCAACGCAGCCAAACACATCTGTAGCGCTGTGGCAACACAGCAACAAGCCGTCGGTGAGCAGAGAGAGAGAAGAAGAGTTGATACGGTCACATGACATGTAGACTGACCTGTCTGTCTCTCTTTCTCTCTCTCTCTCTCTCTCT